TCTCCTGACTGCTGCCCTTTTAAAACGCATCAGTTGGAGCTGTCACTCCACTGCGGTTGCCTTCTCTGGGGCGACTGCGTGGTCATCCCATCGGCCCTCCGCCGCTCCAGGGTCACCCGCATGAAGGCGCTGGCCCGGAGCTACGTATGGTGGCCCTGCCTTGACGCTGACATCGAGGCCTGGGTCGGCAGATGTGACCCGTGCCAGGTGTCCTGCCCAGCTCCCCCCTCCTCCTCCTCTCTGGAGTGGGAGATGCCACGCGGGCCCTGGTCCTGCCTTCACCTTGACTTCGCAGGTCCCTTCCACGGCCAGGTTTTCCTGGTCGCTGTGGATGCCTACTCGCGCTGGGTGGAGCTAGTCCTCATGCGCTCCACCACAGCGGAGAGTACGGTGCGGGCTCTGCGACGTTTGTTCGCTACCCATGGGTTGCCGGACACAGTGGTGTCTGACAATGGCCCGCAATTCACCTCCACAGTCTTCCAGTCCTACCTGGCCGCCCAAGGAATCCGCCATGTCCCAGTCGCCCCTTACCATCTGGCCAGCAATGGCCGGGCGGAGAGGGTGATCCGATCGGCCAAGGAGGCTTTGGGCCGCATGGACCGTGGTGACTGGCCGGCAAGGGTGGATGCTTACCTACTGGCACAGCACTCCACACCTTGCCCACTCACGCAGCAAAGCCCCGCGGAGCTGTTGATGGGTCGTCGCCTGCGGACCACCCTGGATAGACTACACCCCCTCTATTCAGGACTTCAGCCTGGCAACCTGGGGCATCCCTCCCGTTCCTTCTCTCCCAGGGATTTGGTCTGGGCTCGTAACTACCCGGGGGACCCTCGGTGGGTTCCTGCCACCATCACCGAGGTAACCGGACCTGTCTCCTATAGGGTCCACCTATCCGATGGCAGCGAGTGGCGGCACCACCTGGATCAACTAAGGCGCCGCCACCCCCCAGAGGCTTCAGATCAACCCAACATGTAGAGGCCGGCTAAAGAAGCCTCGCAGCCGGCCCCGGACCCACAACAGTTCCAACGCATTCCGCCTCCGCTGGTCTTCCCAGAGTCAGGCCATCCTGCCCTGGCCGCTGGGTTGCCTCCGCCCCCGGAACAGCCTCCTGCAGCCTCTCAATCCGGCCTCGCTTCCCCTTCGTCCGCCCAGTTAGGCCTTCCATTCACAGGCCTTGCCCACCCCCTGGCCACCTACCGGCCTGTTCAAAATCCACCACCACTCTCAGTCACGCCCCCTCTGCCCAGCCTACCTGCTCCTTGGGTGCCTCCTCCTCCACTAGGCAGCAGCAGTGATGTCACCCGGAGCTCCACTCCCTGCAGGGAGGAGCTCTCACGGGGATGTCCTTATCCTCCGGCGCCGCCTCTCCAACTGCGGCGTTCTGGACGTGTCCGCCGTCCCCGCCTACCTGCGGGACTATGCATGCGCCATTACCGACGCATGCGCCCTCGCTGGGGGGGAAGGGGTGTTGAGTCCTGAGTAAGTCCTCGGACTTACGAATGACATCTCGGCAACAGCCAGGCGCGCCTTAGCCAATCAGGTGCGACCTGCAAGTTGCTGGGCTGTCATACGCGCGGCTGTTGGTTCTCCTTTCTGACAGCTCTATATAAATAGCTGTCAGACAGGGAGAGGGTGCCGGTCTACTTCTATTGTTTGCAATTGCCTGAAATAAACGTGTGTTACTTACGGTTACTTCAGACGCCTCCCGCCTAGTTCTTTCCGAGAATCTAACACTTAGGATTTTTACCATTTGTCAGTTGTACAAATCAGCTTTCTCCAACACCAGCCAGTTTGGAGATGATGCTGGCTGGAGCCATATGGTGGGGTGAGATTAATACAAGCTGTTATCCAGAAAATACTGCCACGTGCCTTAACAACTTAGCTATCTTTGTCTCAGTGCCCTGTTCACATTTAACTATTATGAAGTTTGATGTCTACTCATTATTTCTTAGAATGACTATTATGGCCCATGATTTTGGAACATTCTAGCTTACAGTTCTATGGTTGCAATAGTAGGAGAAAGTCTTTTTATAAAGACTTGATTTTAGAAGCAAGAACTTTGGTCAAAACTGATTCATTAATCTGGTCAACCTTTCACATCTAAATAGTTTTTCCCACCCGCCCCAATCACCATTTGTCATTCTAATGACACCTTATATATCTATCCCATGGGACTTCCAAATTTCCCATACAGGAGGAAGTAGAAGTTGTTTTGCTGAGATTCATGTCTCCACTTTCTAGCTTCAGAAAGTCTCCAGAATCTATAAAAGAAACTATTAAAAGCTGCTCTTGATTTGCTTTTACTAACGCTAGTGATTCCAATGCTGGCAGTGCTAAGGCTAGTATTAGTGAGGAAATAAAAACCGAGACATTCACTAGTGTTACTTTCACTAGTGTTAGTGAAGAAAGGAAAACTTCTCAATTTTCATTTCCTCACTTGCTCATTTCCTTAGGACCTCCAGCCATAGCTTCACCTGCATTATTTGTCTCTCAGAAAGAGACGGCTGCTTGTGAGATTGTGTTGTGTGGTTCAGCAAGAGTGGCCTGTCCTTCTTCCTTACCCTGACCTACGGAGATCTTCAAAAACAAGTGGGCAATTCTGATGGGTGGAGGATGGGAAGGAGCATGTAGATCCCAGTGGGGTGGGGCAAAGCAAGGGAAGGAGACTTTAGCTGTGAAAGAGGCCAGAATAAGAGAGTTGGAAGGAACCTTGGAGGTCTTCTCATCCAACCCTCTGCTCAGGCAGGAAACCCTATATATTTCAGACAAATGGTTGTCCAATCTCTTCTTAAAACCCTCCAATGTTGGAGCACCCGCAGCTTCTGGAGGCAACTCATTTCACTGATTAATTGTTCTAACCAACTTCATTGTATTTATTTTGCACAATGACAATAAAGACTGTATTAACTATTAGGAAATTCCTTCTTAGTTCTAGATTGATTTCTCCTTGATTAGTTTCTTTGGTGCTTTGGAGAATAAGTTGACCCCCTTTTCTTTGTGGCAGCCCCTCAGGTATTGGAACACTGATATCAGGTCACCCCTAGTCCTCCTTTTCATTGAACCAGACAAACCCAATTTCTGCAACCATTCTGCAAATTCAAATGTCTGCCAATTTCTGTTAATAGATGAAAGGTACATGAATATGCTATGTGGGTGTCTGTTTTTGTGTATTTTGTCTCCTGCTGGTTCCACCATAAGCAACAGTCAATTAGGCATCCCAAAGCTGTTGTGCTCCTTTCCCCCGTGTTTCAATGCATACTGAATAAAAGAAAATTCCAAGGCCTTCATTGACTCTTGTTAGCATCCATCACTTAATGCCTCAATAAATAACGAGCAATTGATGGACTGTTCTGCAGTTCCTAGATCAGCATTTTTTATACTTGGCAACTTTAAATATGTGGACCTCAATTCCCAGACTTCCCCTGCCAGCATGCAAAGGTACTATGCACAAAACAAGAATATTTCCCCTAGAATATTTCTTAAAGGTTGAACCAATTTCAATATACAAAATTTGAAAAAAAAAATCCAAACTGTTATTCATTGAAGAAAGGCTGGTGCAGACTTCTCCAGCACTGCATATGGGGGAATAGATGCATCTCTTGTTCTGGAATGGTTGCAGGTGTTCTTTTTATGCATCAGCAAATTTTAACAATTCCCCTGATTCCCAGCAGGAAGTCAGAACCAGTCAGCATGGAGGGCAACACCTCCACACAACCAGCAGTTGGGATTCAGGGGGTGTTTATGTCTGCCTGTCTGTAGCCCTCTACAATTTCTGCTTACCCATCAACCTCTCTGGGGAGTGTAGGTATGTTATGGCTATGGCTAGTTGTGGGCAATTTTAAATCAGCCTTAAGATTCCCAACATAGTCAAAATTGTAATGGTAAATTGTACCACATTCATTGCTACATTTCTTTTTGTTTCTGTTTTAATTCTTTTGCCTCAAAATAACACCATACACAAATTAACACAAGTAATGCATTAACTTTAATGTGGTTTATTAATTACTTTTATTGTAATGTCTGCTGTTAAAGAAAGCAAGAAGCAATGACTAATTCTAAAAAAAACATGTACCATATATACCACATACAGTATAAGCTCTTCTGTAGAAAAGCCAAGCCTTAATTTTTCACCAAAATATCATGTTATTGTCCAAATTGTCCATACCTTTTAATTTTTACAATTATCTTATCCATAAATGGCACATTTTTCGATCTATTTGGTTAAAAAACTCAAGGGTTAGCTTTGGTGACGATATTCCATCTGACTTATTTAAAATCCTAAAAGACGATGCTGTTAAAGGACTGCACTCAGGATGCAACCAAGTATGGAAAACTCTACAGGATTGGAAAAGATTGATTTGCACTCCAATCCCAAAGAATGACAATGGCAAAGAATTTCGAAGGCAAAAGGAGAAGGGCACAGTGGAGGATGAGATGGTTAGATAGTATCATAAATGCAATAAACATGAATTTGGGCAAATCTGGGAAAAGTGAAGGACAGGGGGTCTGGCATGCTGTAGTCCATGGAGTAGCAAAGAGTCAGACATGACTTAAAGACTGAACAACAATAATACTTAAGGAATGTCGGTAGTCATAACCTTCGAACAATGAAAAAGGGATCCATCTCAAACCATCCCCTCCCCTGTATTCCCCCCCCTCCATTATTCTTGAGGCTTTCTTGATTTTTCCTGGGCTTTTACTGCTTGCCTCTTTCCATATCTTAACCCAAAGGAATTCCAGTTGTAGGTGGAGAGATCCTGGCTCCCTTCTAACACCAATGCCCCTTCCAGTAATGGAACCCCCTTGCTTTTTGTTGGAAGCAACCCTGGCCATAACTGCACTTGATGCTCTTGCCGCTTGCACAGAAGGGTTACTGTGGATTTCAGACCTTCTTCGCCAGAGCTGAAGCTCCTTTCAGAACATGGGATGTCATTAGCCCAGTGGATCCAGTTGGCCTTGCCTCTGGAGGGTTTAGCTGAAAAGAATAAGAAAAGTTTATAGAGAGAACATAGTTGGAGAAGCATCAAGTTGGGGAAAATGCTGTGATATAGGATATAATTAAATAAAGAAAGGAGAATGATAATAAATTATATACATGGAGGATTAGAAATCTTTGGTATTAAATATTATGGATGTTTAGCTAAAACAGGATGTGAAGACTTAAATGTTAATGGAGGATTTTATAAATAAGTAAG